TATATATATACATTTTTTTTCATCTCTCGCCCAAAACAGATCCCAGGATCAACATCAGACATCTCAGTCCAGAAATGTGCAGTTCTAGGCACAGCTAAGATACTGCGCAGAACCCTCAAGCTCCCAGGCCTCTGGTAGAGGACCCGAGCTCAGAGGATGAAAGAGACCACCCGCGGAGGGTGAGAAGGGAATTTTTTTTTTTTTTATATATATATATATGTGTGTGTTGATAAGCCTGAGTGGTCTGTTGACTGATGGTTGTATTTGTTCAAATAATTGTTATGGGCAGGTTTCAATATAAAAAAATTGTCATAATCATGTCTTGTGATTATTTGACAGGAGTTTTACTTTTAAAATGTAAGTGTATTTATTTTAGTTATAATGTAAATACAATAAAAAATAATAAACCAAGACATAGAATAATAATCATTTTAAACAAAGATTTATAATAATTATCATTTTGATCCATACATTGGTAATGTCTGACTGGACCTCGTGTCACTTTATGTTCAATAAATTGGGCCCTGAGGTCAAAAAGGTTAAAAACCCTGCTTTAAGTGGTTATTTTATTAAAATCGAGCAGTTTCCCAGGTTAAAATCCCTCCTCACGCACACACGACTCACCTGCATCTCATCCAGCTTGGACTGGATATCCGGCGGGAAGTCTGCCGCCCCGCAGGTGAACGGATCAAACGGCTCGGCACCGAACAAATCTTTCCCTGCAGAGAGCAGGAGGCAGCAGAATAAATACATCTCTAACAGCAGGCACGAAACAAATCTGCCRAGTCGCTCACGCACTCATGTCGGGGGGCAGGCTGGTGGGCGGGGGAGGGGGGCAGCCGTTGCTGGCCCTGGCGGGAACCAGCGGCGTCACCGGAGAGAAGGGGACCATGTCGAAAATGTCCGTGGACTCGGGTTTGACGGAGACGCTCCCAGCCTGGACACAAACACATTCGGGTGAGGCAGGGAGGCCGTGGCGTTGGCGCGGCGCTCCGAGGAGGAGCAGGGTAACACAGAGGATAGAAAAAAGAAAAAGGTGTTTACGCGAGGCCGCGGCACGCCCAGGCCCTCGGCAGCTTTGGGAGGAAGGGGAGCGGGTTTGGCGGGCGGAGGGGTTAGTAACCCGGTGGACAGGTTGGAGTCCGGCGAACTCATGGGAGTGAGAGTGACAGAGGAGATTTCCAGACAGGAAAGCGACGTGACGCTGCGACGCCAGAAGAGAGAGGACGGCCTGTGCAGCAGGTACGCCTCGTCGGCTGCGTCTATGTGCAGCGGCTGGAAACATGGCAGACAGAGACGGAGCAGAACCGGGACAGGGAGAAGGTCATGTCATTCACATCAGGCTGTCACCACCGCTCACATCTGACCCAATTAGCTGCTGGAAATGTATCTCGTTCCTATTGGACCAATCAGGTGTGTAATTGGTTTGCTTCAGTGGCCCGCTGGTGGTCTGCAGATAGGCCGGCTGCTTCTGAACCCGATTAACTCGGGTCGGATCAGCAGAACCAGCCGTCAGCCAATAAATGGGCTCAACCTTTTGGTCAGAAATTTAGATTTACTCATTGTTACGGATTTTAATTTATTTAAATCAATCTTGTGTTACAATTACAGCATAAAACTTGAGAGAAATTGAAGAAAAGTTGGAATTTGTGGTGGATTTCAGCAAAAATCTTCCACACTTCATGTCCACGATGAGCCGACTTCTGTTAATCAAATTGTTTTAAAAAGTGTTTTTAGTTTTTTTATGTTGAGGAGACATATCCTGCTTTAAAGTCCTTCTTTTTCCACATTTAAATCCTTCACTTAGGGTCGATATAAAGTGGAACTGCAATGCTTTGGTTTGAACTCCACAAGCCCCGCCCCTTTTCTGAGCAGTGAGACACTGCTCAGAAAAGGGGCGGAGTCTCAGCAGTGTCTCAGATCAGCTCGTTTTGAGGCTGTCTCTAATGTCCCGCCCCCCTCCAGCTTCCTGGTCTAGTAAAGTTTGATAGAGGGGTTTAAAACAACCCAAACTAAATATAAAGATATCTCTGCAGCACCAGGAGAGATAAACTCAACGTTTCTGCCTCCTAGAGACTCCAAGTCCACAACAAAATGTATTTAACAGCTGAAAACTTGGATTTTGCAGGATATGTCCCCTTTAACAGATAAGAAAAGCTAAAGATGAGTTAGTTGTGGTTAAAGAGCAGCATGCTTCAGTTTGAAGGTTTTGAGGTTAGTAAACTGATSTACCGGTGGTACATGTGCGATCATCAGCTGTTCCTCCAGCTCTTGAAGCTGCTTCTTCAGCTCAGCGTTTTCTGTTTCCAGCTCCTGAATCTGCAGGAGAAAACCAAAAACAAAGATGTGAAGCAGCAGCTCGATGCAGAAACACAGAAACCAGCGTGGCTTTGGGTCAGTGTGGACAAAGACTTGGAGAAGTGATGTCATCAGTGACTATTTTCACTCAGGGGCGGAGCTAGACTTTTATACACGAGGGCGACTCAGGGGTGGCCAAGGTGTTTTTAAGGGGGGCACACGCAAATAAAGAAAACAACTATGGATTTGAAAATTAAAGATGGCCGCCACAGTTGTTTTAAGAACCTCTGATCTGAAATTTTGTGATCAACACATGCAGTATGCTACAACCTATAATTCAGCAATTTTTAGACACAAAAAACTGAAGATCAGATCGGGTGCAGCTAAGAATGATCACATGTTGATTACGCATGCTAATGCTAAATTATGCTAAATTTAAAGGGCTATAATTTAATCATTTTCAACATATACAGCTGAATATTTACATAGCACAGTGTGGAAGTAGCCAAAAAAAATCATTACCACATTTTAAACATTAATCAAAATTCAAGATGGCCACCACAGCTAACTTTAAAAAGAATATAATTTCATAATTTTTAGACTTATTGAGATGAAATGTGTATCGCTAAGAATGATCACGTCAATTACTCATGCTAATGCCAAATTCAGCTAACGACTGATGCAAATGCTAGTTTTACAGTGATTTTTAAACATACACAGCTAAATATTTACATGGTGCATTAATAATGGAGAAGAATTTTTAACCACATCTAAAAGCAAAGCAAAATCTAAAATCCCCACCCACTAGTCGAACATTTGGGGGGGGGGGGGGGGCACCTGGGGGTGGAGAGTTGCTTGCCACCCCTCTGGCTCCGCCCCTGTTTTCACTCTGTCATTTAAATAACTCAGAACCTGCAGTGTTTCTGTGTTTTCAGCTCTAATTCAATTCCAAACTGCAGCTTCAGAGCTTTCTTCATTAATATTCATTCAGGACTTTTTCCTGCTCAGACTAAAACATAATTTCAAACAAATCAATGTAAACCAGCTCTTCATTGATTAACAAAAACGTCAGGCTCCACAGGAGCCGTACTCGTTTCTGCAGGCCTCCTATCTGTTTCCTGGTCTCCACGTCTTTGCCTCCGGACTCCAGGAACTTCTTGTAGGCCAGGTCGAAGGCCTGGCCGATGGTGAGCGTGATCTCCTCGGCCTGAAAGCAGCGGGATTTCAGACGGTTCATTTCACGCAGGATAGCTGGGCGATGCGTGGCGTGTGTTCTGGAGGAGGAACCTACACATTTCTCACTGTCGAACACGAAGCACAGGTGCTTGTTGGACTCGGAGTCTTTGCAGATGAAGGTGAAAATCCTTTTGTCGGTTTTGTCGTCGGCGCAGAACGATATCCTGTGCAGCTGGCAGTTGTGCTGCACGTCCTGCGACACAAAGCGAGATTTGTCTGAGAGTCCCGCGGGTCTCTGCRTGGCGTTTGGTCAGCACAAACTCAACTCACTTTTGATTTGGGGTCCAGGATCTTCACGCCGTAGATGGAGATCTGCAGCTCCACTTTGGGGATCTTCTGACCCTCTGACTTCTTGATGTGCCGCTGAAACTGAACAGAGTCCAGAATAATTTGGTGATCGGCTCCAATAAAGTAGTAACATTTAYGGAAACATGCAAACAGACAATTTGAAAGCCTGGTTAACATCTTTCTGATGTTTCCACAGAAACTGCTCCACTCTATTAATTAACTAATTACTCTCTGGTTTGGTTACATTTATCTGCTTATCTTGGAAAACAAAGGAAAATATTTTATAGCTGAAACGAAATGAACCAAACTGAAGGAAACTTAAAGACAGAAGCTAAAGAATCAAAGGAAGTTGATGCAGTGCCGGCTCTAGCCATTTTGGTGCCCTAGGCAATTTGAAGGCCCCCCCGAACTATGTCCAACCCACCCTAATTTAACCCATAAAAACAAGTTTGACAGTGTAAGGTACCCTGGTAAACAGATTTATTTGCTTTCCCTGAAAGCAAATAAATAACATACATGTCAACTTGTACGATTTGTCCATAAGTTATAAGGATTTTATGTCATTTTGCAGGTATACACACGTATAGGGCAATCTCACGGATTGTTTCAAGTCTTACGGATTTTTTTGAAACCTCATTTTCAAATTTATCTAACATGTCAGAGCCTGTAGGATGATTAAAAAAACAATAAATAACATCAAACAGCCATCTTCCAACCTGTTCTGCCGCTAGAAATAAGTTTTGAACTTTTTCCGCTCTCCTTTCCTCCTGCTTCGCAGCGGGTGTGCGTTGTATGGATTTTTTGCAAAATTTACAAGCTTTTGAGTGTTTTTATCCAAGTAAACGTCCGAAGAGGTTGACATGTTTGGGACAACAAAATACAGACTTGTTGTTATTGAGTTTTTCAACACGAACCGCTACCTGAGAGGCGCTACTAGCCCCTCCCCCGTCAGAGTGTCGGAGCAGGACGAGTCAGTGCAACGTCAATACAACGAGAGAGAGGGTGGGGGCGATGTTTTATGGGTAGAGTAGTTTATTTTTCCTGTAATGCTTCATTATAGTCTTTTAAGACAAAGCTAACTGAAAGGGGCGCTGAGCAGAGTTACAACCAGGGATTACAAATAATTACTTTTTTTCTTCTTCTGCAGTTCGGCGCCCCCTCCAGCAGATGGCRCTCTAGGCGAACGCCKAGTTCGCCTATGCCAAGAGCYSGTTCTGAGTTGATGATATCTTGCTTTGGGAATAAATACTTTCATGTTTTGCTGTAATTTAGTTTTTCTTTATAAAGACGTTGACTTTTTAAAGCCTGCAGACACAAACATGACCTGAACTTTAGGATTAAGAGGCAGATTTCTTCTCTTTAGAAGCTGAACAAAAGGACGCTGTTCTTTTAACTAAACYAGACAAATCATTTAAAGGCCGTCTCCCAGGTGTTACGTTAAAAAACCTGCTTCTTTTCTTTCTTTCTTTTTTCCTGGACTAGATCTAAGAAAACATAACTGAGCTAGTCCTTGGCGTCTCTGGGAGAGTAACCACGGAGCTGGAGCCTGAAACTGGTCTCCAGGATCAGGTCTACTGTAACAATAGAAGCACTGGTGTGGAGAAAAAAAAAATAACAGCCCCCCCTGCCCCCCCGCCTGGCAGGCGAAGACACGACGAGGCCAGAGAAGCAGTTCCCAGGCCTAAAGGTCTCTTTAAAAGGTTTCTGTGAGCGGAGTGTTTGTTCTGGAGGGGGCTCGGGTTAAATGTCATTAAATGGGTGGGTTTCATCAAACGGAGGAATAAATCCTAAATAACAAACATATGGGGCGCCAAGTGTAAAACAAAATCTTAACATTAACACATTTTTCATTATTTAGGTCACTGCTCTTACGTTTAGCTAATTTTTACTAAATCTAAATGTTAAAATCTAGATGTAAAATGTTGAARTGTTTGAATTTAGATTTTAAATATTATCTTCAGCAGTGCTAGCAGTGGTGAGCTAAATAATGAAAACATTTTTTACATTTCATTTTACACTTGGCACCAGGTAGAAACCAGGAGGATCCTTACAAACCTTTCACCAACATGAAATAAAAGAAGGTTTCAGCTGATGTTAGATTATTTTGCTGAATATTTCAACAGGGCAGGACTTTGGAAACAGAAAGTCCAAGGGCACCTTCCTGGTGACAGACACGTTGATTTGTTCCCCCCCTCCCTCCAATCCAATCTGCTAACTCAACAATCTCTGCTCTGGAGGCGGCGGCTGCTTCAGGACTTACCTTCAGCTTTCTGACTGCATCCTTCACAACTTCTGTGCCTTTTGGAGCTTCCACTTCTGTGTTTCCAAGGAACTGGAGACGGAAACAAAACAAACAAGAGATCTTATCAGTCTTAAGATAAGATAAGATAAGATAA